AATTTGGGGATTGAAGCAGTAACTAAGCATTATATACCATTTATCTGTAACTGAATGTTGGTACCCTCTTATTCCTGCTGTGTGTGAAGTAAACATAATGCAATTTCAAAAATCTGAAATATCTCTGAAAATTTAAGGATTTCAAGGACGGCTTATTTGAAGCACAACCATTTATCTGTAACTGAACGTTGGTGCTTCCCTTATTCCTGCTGGGTGTGAAGTAAGCGGGCGATTTCAAAAATCCGAAATATCTCCGAAAATACAAATACTATACTACTTTAAATTTTTGAAGTTATTGGGCACCTAAAATATTAATGCTGGGTTTGAAATGTTTCCTTTTAATCACGCTTTCAAGCCGGCCATCGCCATATGCTGGTGACGAAGGTAAAAAACAAACAACAGAGCCTCGAAATTAGTCACAGAGCATAAAACGGAGGTCCTCATCCGAGAGTGGTTCCCAAAAACAAAAACCTTGTCGAAAAACGCCTATCACATTTCCGCAATACAAACAAGCCAAAAATTGGGTGCAGAATAGCGGCACCACTCTCAACAGGGGGAGTCAGAAAAACGTCGTCTAGACGTTACCACCCTGTGATATTTGTCGCCTACGCTTCCGACTATATACCCTCCTGTGATTGCGGAATTTCATCCTCTTTGCTTTTAGGTATGCCCTATGTAATCAAGTTGAAAGATAATTATGGTTTTTAATTATCTTTGAGCTAATGGGGTATTGTAGCTTGAAAGCGATTTTAAATAGACAGTGAAATTGCATGGGGTTTGTTAGGTACTTGTTAGTTTTGCCACAAATTTGCATTAAATTATATGCCCTGTGATAGTCAAATAGGCTAATGCAAATACAAAAAACTCTGTGTCAAAATAACTTTCATCTAACTCTAATTTGTTTTACATCAAAACACATTTGAAAGATATTGGCATTGGCATTCAAAGCTGAAATTCACTCAACTGGCCTCGTTCCCAATGGTAAATTTAAATACCTCCCAATAAAGGTGCAATAAAATTTGTTAAATATCATTAGCCTAAAGATCAAAAAGTTAATTTTCGAATAAAAGGTTTATGGTAATGTGTAAGAAGATAGGTATGGTAAATAAAAGGGGCTTAAATAAGTCTGGCCAGTTAGGCGCCCGCCAGGGCCAGGGCACTAATCACCCGCAGATTTTTAACACTTCGAAGACGACAAAGTCAAGTGCTTTTTGGCACCAGACTCCTTGACCTTTTCCCATCTTTTGTCCTATATATTTGTTTTTAGGGCCCGGAAATACTGTTATCTAAACCCCTTTTTTTTTGCTGCAAAAATATCCGGCATCTGATTTATGACTATATATTTTTTTATAATAATTAGGTATTACATTAACAAGTTAATGTTAACAATCGACTCAAAAATTCAAAAGTGATGAATCACTTAATGCTAATGGCTATCATTATAATGTTTAATTGTTTACAAATCAACATCATGAGAAGTCATCAACAACTTTGGCGTCTCTATTAATTGAACTTTCCATTATCTACTAATAACTGCAACTTTAATGGGCTTTTTCTTATCCTAAAGGAAAATTTAAGCCGATTATATATTTTAGCTCTTTTGTTTATCTAACTATAATCCTCAAAATAGTATTGTTTTTGGGTCTTGAGCCAACAAAATAATAATTACCTCCGGAAATAGAGAAATTCGCGTTTTTAGACCATTTTCTCGCGCCGAGAAGTTATGACGTCATGTGACACTGTTTTAAACCAGTTTTGAAAAATGTTTGAAAACATTCGAGACGCGAGAAAAAAACCTCTTCTAATTTTTGCAGGAAATTGAGTTTTCATACATTTCCAGTTTTAATTTCAGATTTTTAAGAGTCTCCGCTCCAAAATTCAACTCTACCAGGTTCAAAAATGGCCCCGGAGAACTGTTCTGGATCAAATTAAATTGAAAAATGATCAGGGATCGGAGTTCTAGTCTAATCTTGGCAGGAAATTAAATTTTCATGCATTTCCAGTTCAAATTCCAGGTTTTTAAGAATTGCCAATTCCATAATTATTGTGAAGGTACGGTCTTTAAGAAACAGCTCCAATGATTTGCTCCATTTCTTCGTAGAATCAGAGTTTTATACATATTTCTCAGATTCATAGAGCAAAATCAGATAATACATCAGATACAGTCGTCAAGAAAAAGACTGGAGTTTCCATGATTTGTTCCAGTGGCGGTGCTTAGATGCACTGGGCCCCTAAGGAAATATCACAATTATGCCCCCCTATATCTCCTTGTACCTAATAAAAAAATATAAGATTTTTTGTACTCGATAATTTGTGGTTTAATAAACCTTCGAACCGAAATCAAATAGAGTAAAATGATGAATCCAGAGCAAAAATAGCAACAAATATCATTTATTATTATCGGTTCTTGAACCTTGATTGCTCTTAGAACAATTCTCTAGGGAATCCAGAGTTGATAAAAGTTCAAATTTAAACTATTACTGGCTCTTGATTGGCTCTAGGAAGGTTTTCCAAAGAATCAAGAGCCTGTAAAAGTTCAAATTTTGATTATCTGTGGCTCTTGATCCATTGGATTATTTTTCATGAGCCAATTAGAAGCTGCGGAAGAAGAAATTTTGATCGATATGAACTTGAGAGCTGCTAATGATCATTCGAAATTTTGATTATTATGGGCTCTTGAGCCTTGACTGGCCTTAGAACAATTCTCTAGGGAATCCAGAGTTGATAAAAGTTCAAATTTTGACTATTCCCTAATAGCACATAACATTCCATGTACATTCGCAGAACATACATTTAGGACATAAGGAACATTCCATGAATGTCTCCCAATGTTCTAAGACATTCCAGGAACATTCAGGGAAAAGCCTTTGTTAGCATTTTGAATGTTCCGTGAACATTTTATTGAACATTCACCGAATATCTTCGTATGTTCTACATACATCCAGGGAATATTTTCTGGATTTACTTACGATATACCAGGAATGTTTGGTTAGGTATAATTCAAAATCATACACAGGTATTATGTGATATATGGTGGATCAGATAGATTCATAAATATAAAAATCACGTGACACGATCAATATTCATACGCCAAAAAGGCGCTATATTTAAAAAAGGAAATAGAAACTTACTACTTCACGTTTCTATGGTTTTTATCGGTTTTTATGTGTTTTCGAATATAAAATATAGGTAGGAGTACAAAAAATTAATAATCATGAATAACTCCTGATGTGTATTTCACTAATTATGTAATTGATAAAATTGGACCAAAAATGTATTAAGTTTAATTTGCGCTATTTTTATCATTAAAGTTTCAAAAATACACATCTATTCAATTATTTTTTCTACAAACTCCGTGCATAAGACTGAACGTCCTGCAGAAATATTCCTTGAACATTCATTTTATGTCTAAAAAATCTTGACTTTCCTAGAACATTCATAGAATATACTGATAAAATATTCTGTGAACATACCTAAAAAGATATTCCAGGAACATTCCTCCAATGTCTAGGACATTCAAACTTTCACAGGACTTTGCTGGAACATTCTCTGAATATTTGGTGCTATTAGGGTTATCGGCTCTTGATTGGCTGTAGGAAGGTTTTCCAAAGAATCAAAAGCTGGTAGTTTAAATTTTGATTATCTGTGGCTCTTGATTTTGATTATTATCGGCTCTTGAGCCTTTGACTGCCCTTAGAACAATTCTCTAGAGAATCCAGAGTTGATAAAAGTTCAAATTTTCATTATTACCGGCTCTTGATTGGCTCTAGGAAGGTTTTCTAAAGAATCGAGAGCTGGTAATAGTTCAAATTTTGAATATCTGTGGCTCCTTTATTCATTGGATAATTTTTTTTGGAGCTTACATGGGGCTAAATACCGAATATCCATATTGGATGATGCAGTCTATGCTGACTTATGGGAATTTCTCAAGTAATTTTCTAAAATTTTTAATTCACTGAATGACCTTTCAGCGGTGGCAACTGGAAGAATGTATGAGTTGAGTATATTGATCGATATCGTTTATTATATGTGGGTGGGGCACGAAAAACTTCCCACCCAAAGTTTCTCAGGTGTTAGGTGTTTAATCAAAAATCGCTCAGACACGTCAATTTTTGTTTTTTGGGGTACACATTTTATTGGTATTTTCACCCCCTACCTGTCAACCCCTAAGTGGGGGTAACAGGTACCCCCAAAATTTAAAATGGAAAGGGGTCGAGTGATATGTCATTTGGTAACTATTTTCATTAAGATTATATCCCCGAAGTTTTAAGTTGCTACTATTTACCCTGCCGAAATGGCGGCATGTCAAAGTTAGGATAAATGCTTTTTTTCGATAATCTAAACTGTATAGTTTTCACCTGTCACACCTATGCGTAGGGAACAGATAAAAACCACACAGCATTTTTCCAATGATTTTTCCTAACTTTGACAAGCCGCCATTTCGACAGGGTAAATAGTAGCAACTTAAAAATTCGGGGATATAATCTTAATGAAAATAGCTATGAAATGACGTATCACTCGACATTTGAAATTTTGGGGGTACCTGTCACCTCCATTTAGGGGGTGAAAATACTAATAGAAAGCGTCCCCCAAAAAACAAAAATTGACGTGTTCGAGCGATTTTTAATTAATCACTTAACACCTCAGAAAACCTGGGTGAGAAGTTTTTCGTGCCCCACCCTGTATATTTCTCAATTTTATTTTAAAGCATTTCAATAAAAACTAGAATCTAATTATTGGTTTTCAGATTCCACATAAACTACGCTTATTCTTCTTAAAACCTGAAATTAATTCTTATTTTCTGATCCAGAACAACATCTAATTTTCCACAAATGAGATGAGCTGAATCGGCAACCTCAAATTAACAGCAGGGGATTTTATCCAAATTTCTGATGAATTCCTAATTTTCGAATCAGAAATAGAATTCACTGGCTAGAATTGGAAAATGATTTTATCTAATGATGGATGATGGGCCACAGAAGAAGAAAATAGATCAAAAATAATTTTACATATCTATATATTTTATTTTGTCAATACCTCTGTAGGCACGCATATGTACATAATATATCTATAAATCACAATAAAACACTTACATAAAGAATCTGTCTCTGTCTAATAATAAATTATATAAAAGAAAACCCTATTTACACATTATACAATTATAACAACTTAAGTACTCTGATTAATACAAAGCTTGTGCAACCAACTATTGCACTTATGGTTGAATCAACCCTCTTGAACAAAGGTTGCTTTAAAAGCATCACAATTAAAATAAAAATCAACATCCTATCAAAGCCCTTATGGAAAAGTCTGTAATTTTCCTAGGCTTTTTGACCTCCATAAATTTAGGAGAGTAAAACAAAGGCTCCTCACTCCTTACATAAGGATAATAATAGCCACTATAATACGGATAATAATAAGGATAAACTGGAGGTAAGTAAACTTGAGGAGTAACAGGAAAAGGTGCTTGAGAAAAACTATCATAAGTTACATCTTCAATTTTGGCACATTTAACTGATGAAGGAGAACCAAACGACGAACTCCTGCTTCTTGCTTCATCAGACTCGATACTGTCAATACTCGAATCGGAAATGCTATTATTGTTTTCCTCAAAACTATCCACACTTATTAATTCGTCTTCTTTGTCTTCACAGGCACGCTTTCTTTTGCATTTGGCTTGTCCATTATGCCTGAACCCTTTGGCAAAGGGATTGTTGTCGATTTTTAATTGTGTAATTTTTTCGTTTTGGTAAGCTGTCACTGCTATGAATTGGGTTTCTGGAAAAGCTGCGTAGGTACTAGGAGACCAGGCGATTGTCCTAGGATCTGAGGTTTTCACGACGATTATACGTGGCTGGTATTTGTGCATTGAGGACAATACAATCTAAAAAAATAAATATTATTAGTAAAATGTTTTAAATAAGTTGAATAGGTTCTTACTTGTCCAGCAGGTGGTGCAGGCATATTGGTGAGTTTGACCCTTCCAAAACTAATAGGCTGCGACATCCAGTAGTCTCCTTTTGCTGGACTTTCTGGATGTAAGTAAATCCTGTGCGGACTTTGAGCTTCCTCGGAACCTGCTGGTGCCCATCCGCCTGCCGAAGAGTATTTGTATCTGCACCTCGAAGCCGGTACCATTTCCATAAAAACGCAGTATTGCTCTTGAGGATCCAATTCGCTAAGTTGCACTTGAAGCGAAGGAAACATGCGTCTGAAACAATAATTCATTATTGTAGTAATGTAAATCCGAAAAAAAAGGGCATTTGTATTGTGTATAGGTGGTTTCCATATCAAACGGGTGCCGACACCAGAAAATCCTTTCACCAAAGTCTCTTTCACCTTAGCTAACGCATTAACATGGGGGAAAAAGACACACACAGGTTCTTTCGAGGCATAAATGAAGAAATTTTCTGCTTAGTCAACTCGTGAGAGTGTTTTGGTATTGTTCGGGTGGTACCGCAAAGGAATATTTATCCTACTTTACTGTTAGAATATAAATAGAGAGGACAATAGGAGGACTCTTTTAGTGTCTGGGGTATCTTTCTCAGGGTAATTAAGTCAAAATAGTGTAAGAATGTAGTTTTGTACAGTAAGAGCATAGATATTCAAAACTGTTTGATCTTTCAATGTTGAAAGTTAATCCATTTATCAGAAAAATTGAAATTCAAAACCAGTTGTGATGAATCCCCTTTAGCATCTAGATTAGATAACTAGAAAACTTACAAAATAAGTATATAAGAATAAGTACTTAATCACTTTGCAAATTTCTTGATTCTTCTATAAAGGAACTCTCAAAATGAAAATATTCTTAGGATCTTCACATCTTGTTAGATCCTAAATTGATCTTTTGTAAATGTTCTGTTTTTCTTTGAGACAAGTAGGTACATAGATCTTGAAATTCTGAATTTTACGAACCTTGAAGATATTTTATCTAACTAGAAAGAAGAAAAGAAGATTTTGAAGATTCATCTTTGAGACTTTGATTCAATAGGCGTTTGAAAAGCAGAAAGTGATTAAAGTTTAAATTTTTAATTCTTTGTGTCGCTATATTTATACTCTGCAGATTTATGACTCATGTAAAAATTATTCTAAAAATCAAAACGAAAGTTGTGGTAATATCTGTGGCGCCAATTATGAGTAAGAAGAGGGTCTTCTTGACATAAAGTAGATGTTTCTTCAGCTCCCTGACTTGTTTGTCGGTAAAACCCCAGACAAAAGGGACACCAGATAAGCTTGTCCTTATGTCCATTGTGGCGTCGCCTTAACACTTGATTTCCTACAGGGCAAAAGAGACCGCGAAAGAGCTGTTTTACGCCGAAAGAGTCCGATGCCGATGGCCCACCCGGGATGGATTTTGTTGTAAAAAGAAAATCTAGAGATTTGCGAAAAATTCTTATCGAAAAATAGCTTTTAAACTGTAACAACATCCGTTTTGAGTTATTTACAACACCCTAATGGTTGTAAGAGCCACTTGACTTTTACAATAAAACTTGGGTACTGTTTTTACTGGCTTTGTAAATGGCGTCAGAAATCTCAGGTACCCACTGTAATAAACTTTTAGGTAATAAACTTCATTTAAGGTTTGAGAGATTTCGCGAAAACATTTTATATCCTCTGCACAGTTACAGAATGGCTATCGAATATGTTCCAGTTTCATCTTTTGGAACCGTAAAACTACTGCAAACAACATCAGGATCTTTCCCTTTGCCAGTTTTCCAGTAAAAACATAAAATGTAAGAGGGTGAATTTTCTTTAATTTGAATTTGAAAAGTTAATTTTGCGAAATTTTGAATGGAAAAATTTTTCCTCTAGAAAAAAAATAATTTACTAGGGGCTGCATTTAATTTTAAAATAACTAGAGAAAATCGGAAGTTTAAGAGAAAAAAAAATTGGTTTTGGTACTTTTTGAAATCCCCTCTATAAAATAGCTATCTTGAAATTTCGAAATTTTGACTTTGGTTTTTTGGCCCTATACCTTCAACACAGGGAACTCTACGAATATTGAAACTTCAACCGGCCTTAACTCCGTAACGGTAAGTCGTAGAGGAAAACTCTTTACAGGCAGATTGTAGAACTCGTCGAGATCTACAAAAAAGCTCCGTGAGTCCTATTTCTACGACTTACCATTCCCGAGATATTCCACTTGGAAGTTTTAAAATCATTGAGCCTTGGACCAAAAAAATTAAAATCTAAATTTCCCATTTTTTTTTTGACTACGTCATAGAGGAAGTCCAGAGAAATGACAGAACTCATAATTTTTCTTTTTTCAAGGAGTTTCCGGCCCTTTTCTGTTTCCCAAAAAATGGAAAATCGAAATTTTTCGAATTTTGGAAAAACAAAAATTTCATTGCATAGAGGAGGCTAAAACAAGCAGAAAAGTTATTTGGCACTATTTCCTAGGAAATCTCCTAAGCCTGGAAAAATTAAAGAAGGAAATCCATGAGGGGGGTTTTCCAGCCTGACATAGTCCGATTAAATGAGCCATAACTCTGGAACGCCCAGACCGATTCCAATGAGTCATGTTTCATTCGATAGAGAATTAAATTGTCTATAAAATGATTTTATCCAAAATTTCCAGATTTATCCCGTTTTTAAGTTATGAGCCTTCAAAGTTGAAATTTCCTCAATTTTTCAAGTTAATGAAAAAAAGTTCCTATACATATTTTTTAGGGAAAATTTTGAAAAAAAAAACGATTTATGGGATTGAGGGGACCTCTTTTATAACGTAATTGAAGAAAAATTTGCATATTTTCATTTTGATTTTTTGAGGGAAATTTTTCAACAGGGGTTTGAGTTCATGTTTTTTTTGAATTCCAAATATAATAATTTGACATAATTTGAAAACGGTAAGTCTGAAAGGAAATTTTCTTTTATGAAAAGTGTAGCTCGCAATGAGTACTACAAAAAACTAATTTGAGTTTTCCCTCTATGATTTAAGGTTTTTGAGTTTTTTGAGTGTAAAGCTTTTTCAAAATGTAAGTGTAAATTTTAACTTTGAAACTTCATAACTTTGGAACGGTAATAGTTATTAAATTGAAATAAAGGCATTTTGTAGCTAATTTAATCCTCTTTGGAATGAAATATGATTCATTGAAATCGGCTTAAACGTTCCAGAGTTATAGCCGATTTGATGGGGCCATGTCAAGTTGGTAAATTCCAAATACAATTTGATCACCTTGACTTTTTCCGGTCAAAAAATCAAAATCCAAATTTCCCAAATTTTCTTTGACTACGTCATAGAGGAAGTCCAGAGGAATACTGGAACTTAGTTTTCTACCCTTAATTTCCCTTTTTTCCAGGAGTTCCCAGCCCTTTTCTATTCTCCAAAAATGGAAAATTGTTTTCCGAATTTTGGAGCAACAAAAATAGAGGAGGTCAAAACAAGCAGTACCTAAAGCTATTTGGCATTTTCTCCTAGGAAATCTCCTAAGCCTGGAAAAAAATAAAAGAGAAAATGCATGGGGGGGCTTTTCCAGCCTGACATGGTCTGATTAAATGGGTCATAACTCTGGAACTCCTGTACCGATTGCAATGAAACACGTTTCATTCGATAGAGGATTAAATTGCCTACAAAATGGCTTTATTCACAATTTCTAGATTTATCCTGGAGTGATTTTCCACTGGAAAATTTTGAAATTTTAGTATAATGAGCTCCTCACTTTCCTCTTTCTCCTCTAAAAATTTCACAATTTTCTCTTGGTCAGTTTTTCAGAAAATAATTAAAGTGTAAGAGGGTAAATTTCCCTAAATTCAGCTATAAAATTTTCTTTTTCCAACAAACAGCCTCGATGAATCTATCAACAATTTCTAGCTACTTAACCTTCCAGAATTCATTTTCTATAAACCTCAAACTTTCAATCAAGACTGTTAAAGTATACTTATGGTAGTAATAGAGAAACTGATGCAAAAACTCCTACGAAATAAAGGCCACAAATAAGTGAAATACTTGAAAATCCAACACAGACAGTACTTAATGCCTTGGTAATCACCAAAAAGGGACAAAGAACTATCTGAAGTGGTGTTTACAATACTTAAACGGATTTTATAGTCTCGTGTCGCCAGATTTAAAAAAATCACTTCAATTTTTGAGAAAAATTTGCAGCCTGTTAAGGAAATCTGTGTTTATAAAAAGGACCCAGGAAGTGGTTTTTACTATAATAACACATTATTTAGCCACCAAAACCGCCATATGGGGTATTGATAGTTTATTTAGATTTCGGGTCCCAAAATCAACATCCTCTCCCTTTTTGGGTCACAGGATTTCATAACAAAATATCGATTGTCTTACCTTCCAGATTTCGTGATTATCATTTCGGTTTCTAAATTGTGGAATTTTTTCCAGAGGTCGGCGTTTTTCAGCGTCACTTTGCACTTACTGACTGGATAAGCACCTAGAAGAAAAAATGAGAGAAATTAATAATGCTGCAAGACATTTTCTGCCTAAAGTTGCAAAAATATCCATATCAGGAGGTAGAGTAAATGTGTATAATGTCACATGACATCATCAGAAACAATAAGAATTTTGATTTTTTCATATTCATAGGCTGATGTTTTGATAATAGAGAAGAGTACATTTTCTATTAGAGCTAAAATTGAACTAGATACTTATGAAACTCTGATTTCTAATCATTTTAAAGTTAAAATTGAGCCAGAGGAATATAGAAAGGACGTTTTTCTGAACCTCCTAGAGCTGAAACTCGATGAAAAACATGAAAATCTTACGACTGAAGACTTTTTCAAATGTTGAAGAATTTGATGATTTTACAGTCTGAAGGTTGAGGACTAAACCAAAGATTACAGAGTCGAGGGTTTTTAATATTCTGTGAAAATTGATGTCTTTGAAATTTTTTTTGAGAGAATTTCAGATTTTCAAAGGTTCTCCCAACTAATTTCTGGAGTTTTTTGAAGAGAGCATTTCTGTAAGAAGAAAATTTATTTCTCGGTGATCATCATAGGAAGATTTCTGCTCTTCCGGAAAATGATCACCCAAAATTTCCGCAGAAAGAAAACACTTCTCACCTACTAAATCGTTTTAAATTTATGCACGTATATTTCAGCAAACCAATAATGTGGATATTATCGCACTAGTAAGAAAATACCAAGCTGTACACAATTAATTTGATGTTTGATACGACTTTTCTCAAAGTATTTTGGTGATGATTATATTGCACTAGTGTGAAAAAGACACACTTTACACACTAACAACCAGAGATAAAACTGACTAGGAAGTTTTTCTGAATAAGTGCAAGAGAAGTCCAAGGTTTTGGAGGAAGTCTATAGGGAAATTTGGAGAAATCCGAGGAAAAATTAAAAATTATGAAGCAAATTTTAAATGTCTTGTGCCTACTTCCACTAATAAAAATAATATAAAATTACACTTACAATTAAATTCATTTAACATTGTAGGAAAATCTCCTCTGTTGTTGTCCCTAGTAGAGTAATTTTGCGGAAGCATCGCAAAGATACAAAAACTACACACAAAAATCTCGTACTCGTTTCGGAAAAATAACTGTCACTAAGTCACTTGCCAAACGGAATCGAACTAATTTGCAAAATTCGAAAACAGTACCTTTTAAAAGCTAAAAGGAACCATTAGGCCGAAAGGTTGCCACCCCTTGTAAGGGTACCAAGGCATCCTATTGGTTGAGATAAGGGCGCCCTGTCAAGGGTGTTGATTTATCGCCTATGGACAATAGGTACCTACTTTAAATGTTTTTGTAAGCGTGCAATGTTGCATATGAAAATGTGGAAAATATATGAATTTTCACATTAATAATATGTTTGCTTAGATATCATTGTAGGTAGATTAAAGCTAGAAAAGGTTTATTTTATCTGTTGTTGTTTATATTTTGTTTATTGTTAAAGGAATGTTTAATTCAATAAATCTTTTATTTATTTATTTTTTTGATACGGGCATATGAATCCTGCGAAAAATGTAACTCCCTTCTTTGAGTGAAAATAGTTTAATAATAAGGCAAAAAGGTACTATAACAAGGATAAGTTTGTAGTAAGTACCGGAACCGCGAAAACATGGGGAGATGTAGGTACCTATTCAGATAAAAATGTAAAACAGATACGAGATGGTACTACAGTTGTGACTGGTATATCTGGAAAATCCTTTCATCAACTCAATTCTCTTGCAATTTTTCCATTGTCCTTTACAATATAGGTAGGTTTCTACCTTTTCTAGGTGAATTTTGTACAAAATTGGGTCAAATTTGGGCGAGGCAGTGTCAGAATACAGAGTGATCGTGAATGATTCTTCACTAAAAGTTTTGCAAGCAGATACAAAATTGATCACCCTGTATTTTCGTAAGGAAAGAAGCTAATGGATTCAGCCATTTGGGTTTCGAGAGAAGGGTTTGGAACCAATAAAGCCGTTTTCGGCTTGGTAACCTTGATGCAACGAGCTCCGCAAGGGAAATTTGGTGTACAAATTAGGGGAAATCAAGAGGGAATCGGAGGAAATCTAAGGCAATCAGGGGAAATCATAAGGAAATCAAAGGAAATCTAAAGGAACTTACAGAAAATCTTAAAAGAATCGTGGGAAATCTTAAAAGAATCAGTCAATTTCTAGATCTGATGCATGCGCAGTTTTCAAAAATCCTCATAATTTGAGTTTGTGTTATCAGGGGGGAACTCTTGGGAAATCTTACTTAAAAGTCTTAAAACCGCAATCTTGGATACAAAAACTGACTTACAGTTTACTCCTAAGGGATAAGCCACAGGGGAAATCTGGTGTACAAATTAGGGGAAATCAAGAAGAAATCCGAGGGAATTTAAGGCAATCAATGGTAAACATAAGGAAATCTAGGGAAGTCTAAGGCAACTTGGGGAAAATCTTAAGGAAATCATGGGAAATCTTAAGAAATTTCTAGATCTAACATATGCGCAGTTTTAAAAGATCATCTTTATGATTGGAAATTATGTCATCAGGGGAAATTTTGGGCATTTTTACTGATAATGAGAAGAAATCAAAAGAAATCTTGGGAAATTCCATGATTTCCCCTAAAATCGTTGTTAGGTTTCTGCTGTTCAAAAACTGACCTGCGGTTTACGTCAGGGATAAACCGCAAGGGAAACGTGTATAAATGAGGGGAAATCTAGAAGAAATCGCAGGGAATCTAAGGCGATCAGGGAAAATCAAGACAAATCTCAAGGAAATCATGGAAAATCTTAAGGAAATTAGTCAATCTTTAGATCTATTGTAGATATGCGTAGTTTCCAAAAATCTTTATAATTTCAGATGATGTTAACAGAAGAAGTCTTGGGCAATCCAATCTTACTGGTAATCAGAAGAAATCAGGGGAAATCGAAATCAAGGGAAGTCTTAGGCAACTTGGGGAAAATTTTAAGGAAATCATGGGAAATCTTAAGGATTTTCTAGATCTAACGTACGCGCAGTTTTAAAAAATCATCTTTATGGTTTAAAATTATGTCATCAGGAGAACTTTTGGGCATTCTTACTTATAATCAGAAGAAATCAAGAGAAATCTTGGGAAATTCCATGATTTCCCCTAAAATCGTTGTTAGGTTTCTGCTGTACAAAAACTGACCTGCGGTTTACGTCAGGGATAAACCGCAAGGGAAACCTGGTGTATAAATGAGGGGAAATCTAGAGGAAATCGCAGGGAATCTAAGGCAAACAGGGAAAATCAAGACAAATCTCAAGGAAATCATGGAAAATCTTAAGGAAATTAGTCAATCTTTAGATCTATTGTAGATATGCGTAGTTTCCAAAAATCTTTATAATTTCAGATGATTTTAACAGAAGAAGTCTTGGGCAATCCAATCTTACTGGTAATCAGAAGAAATCAGGGGAAATCGAAATCAAGGGAAGTCTTAGGCAACTTGGGGAAAATTTTGAGGAAATCATGGGAAATCTTAAGAAATTTCTAGATCCAACATATACGCAGTTTTAAAAGATCATCTTTATGATTTGAAATTATGTCATCAGGGAAACTTTTGGGCATTTTAACTGGTAATCAGAAGAAATCAAGAGAAATCTTGGGAAATTCCATGATTCCCCCTAAAACCGTTGTTAGGTATCTGCTGTACAAAAACCGACCTGCGGTTTAAGTCAGGGATAAACCGCAAGGGAAATCTGATGTAGGTATAAATGAGGGGATATCTACAGAAAATCGCAGGAAATCTAAGGCAAACAGGGGTAATCATAAGAAAATTAAGACAAATCTCAAAGAAATCATGGGAATTCTTAAGGAAATTAGTCAATCTTTAGATCTATTGTAGGTATACGTAGTTTCCAAAAATCTTTATAATTTCAGATGATGTTAAAAGAAGAAGTCTTGGGCAATCCTATCTTACTAGTATTGAGAAGAAATCAGGGCAAATCGAAATCCGGGAAGTCTTAGGCAACTTGCAGAAAATCTTAAGGAAATAATGGGAAATCTTAAGGAATTTCTAGATCTAACATGATATGCGCATTTTAAAAAATCATCTTTTTGATTTGAAATTATGTCATCAGGAGAAATTTTGGGCATTCTTACTGATAATCAGGAGAAATCAAGAGAAATCTTGGGAAATTCCATGATTTCCCCTAAAATCGTTGTTAGGTTTCTGCTGTACAAAAACTGAACTGTGGTTTACGTCAGGGATAAACCGCAAGGGACACCTGGTGTATAAATTGGGGAAATCCAGAGGAATTCGGAGGGAATTTTAAGAAAATTAGTCAATCTTTAGATCTATTGTAGGTATGTGTAGTTTCCAAAAATCTTCATAATTTCAGATGATATTAACAAAAGTCTTGGGCAATCCAATCTTACTGGTGATCAGAAGAAATCAGGGGAAATCGAAATCAAGGGAAGTCTTAGGCAACTTGGGGAAAATCTTAAGGAAATCATGGAAAATCTTAAGGAATTTCTAGATCTAATGCGCAGTTTTAAAAAATCATCTTTATGATTTGAAATTATGTCATCAGGAGCACTTTTCGGTATTTTTACTGGTAATCAGAAGAAATCAAGAGAAATCTTGGGAAATTCCATGATATCCCCTAAAACCGTTAGGTATCTGCTGCACAAAAACTGACCTAACAGTTTACGTCAGGGATAAACCGCAATGGAAATTTGGTGTATAAATTAAGGGAAATCTAGTTGAAATCGGAGGGAATCTAAGTCAATCAGGGGTTATGATAAGGAAATCATGAGAAAATCAAGGCAAATCTCAAGGAAATTAGTCAATCTTTAGATCTATTGTAGATATGCGTAGTTTCCAAAAATCTTTATAATTCCAGATGATGTTAACAGAAGTCTTGGGCAATCCAATCTTACTGGTAATCAGAAGAAATCAGGGAAAATCGAAATCAAGGGAAGTCTTAGGCAACTTGGGGAAAATCTTGAGGAAATTATGGGAAATCTTAAGAAATTTCTAGATTTCAGAAGAAATCAAGAGAAATCTTGAGGAATTCCATGATTTCCCCTAAAACCGTTAGGTATCTGCTGTACAAAAACTGACCTGCGGTTTACGTCAGGGATAAACCGCAAGGGAAATCTGGTGTTTAAATGAGGGGAAATCTAGAGGAAATCGGAGGGAATCTAAGGCAATCATGGGTAATCATAAGAAAATCAAGACAAATCTCAAGGAAATTAGTCAATCTTTAGATCTATTGTAGGTATGCGTAGTTTCCAAAAATCTCCATAATTTGAGGTGATAGTTAACAGGAGAGTCTTGGGCAATCTTACTGATAATCAGAAGAAATCAGGGCAAATCCTTTTGATCATAGAATTCTCAACATCAGAGAAATTTCAAATGAGAGGAGTGAGGAAAAGCGGAATGTATCCAGAAATGAATAGAGAAGAAGAGAGACTGTGTGTGTAAGAGACAAATGAGGCTCAGAAAGTCGGAAATCGAAATCAAAAAAACAAGATCACAACTTTTCTAAAGCTCAATACATTCCTAACCAACCAAGATCTTGACGTCAAGCTTAGATTCAGAATAGTCTATTTTCCTGTACTTATACTTATATGATCAATAAAATTGAAGTTTTTGAAAATTGGTTGAAAATATAAAGTAGGTAATGGATGAGACCAAGAACTATTTTTTTGGAAAAATCAACCAAAGAAAAATTTTCTATTTCGGTCACAAAACAATAACAAGAAAACCTTGATTTTCAGTCACTCCAGCTAGCAAAATACAGTGTGGTCAAACATTTTTCTATCATCGGCTCTTGTAAAAGAAATTCTTTACTGAAACTTTTACAAAAGCCGAAGATAGATAAAATATAAATCATCCTATATATTTGTTAAGAATAATACCGTCATAGTGGCTAATTAAATCTTAGCAAGTCAAAATACTGGTTAGTCAAATTAAGATCAAGAAATCACAACCCGAAAACAAATCTCACACTTTTATGTACACAAAATATAAGACAGTAGATAAAAGTAACAAAATCAAATAAAAATGGTTATCAAACTGACATGTCTTAAATTTTCCATCCCAAATGAGGTAAACTTATAATTCATAAACAGAACAAACTTCATTTCCCTTAGTCACCAATTCAAATAGGCACAGACTGAAAAACAACCCCATTAACAAAAGTAAAACTGCACAAACAAACTAATTAAGCAAATCAGGTAATATATATAGAGTCCTTACTGGAGGTAGTTTGTTTTTCTAGGTGACTCAAACACTACAAATTGCATTCGTGCCGGTTTGGCTATCCTCAAGCTTACTCATACTCAATAATTTGAGAAAAACAAGCCAATTAAATCATTAAACATCCACCCTCCGTAATGTTGTTTCGAACTTTGAACCTATAGATTTGTTACAACCTTCTTTGAAAGCAAAACAAACCTTTTATTGGGTTGTTTGTTTAAATTTTTGGCATCCAAAGTTTGGAGCCCTATTATTTGTATGGCCAAGATAAACAATTACAAGAGTGATTTGTTGTTTATTTTTCCCTCCGACTGTGTAATTTTCTGAGAGAAATCATGCCACACGTAATGGAATGGCTAATATTTATTTAATTATATTAAAATAAATAAATTAATTATTTGTTATTTTGGTATACATATTGCAAGTGTGGAAAGTTTTCAATAGGTAAGGGGTGAGCAGAGCCGGCACAAGTACATTAACGAAAGTAGGTACTTGAAATACCAGGTACAAGTTTTTTTAAATTATACTTTGATTATCAAGTAAACTTGATTTCATCAAATAATTTAGGTACTTCAAGTTAAAACACTGAGCTTCAAGTAAAGTGGCATTACTTGAAGTATATTTTAGTAGGTACTTGAAGTACCTATGTAAAATACTTTTTCTAATTTTGACATTTAAAGTGACACTTTTCAAAACTCGTTGACGTTATCAAATGCCTTATTACTTTTCATCACCATTAGTTGCAAAAAATACAGGAACAAAATCTGTGATAGGTACTTTTGGGGCTGAACTACTTGAAGTATTTTGTTCTTATTATATTCGTTGTACGTACATATTATGGAGATTTAATTTTATTAAAATTAGTTACATATATTATGACAATGTATGGGAAAAAAACTTAATTATAAATATTAATACTTAACACAATTGATATGATATTGACAACATAGTTTTCTGTGTAACATTAATTAAATGAATAAATTGAATGTTTTTTCCATGGAAGTCTCTCCAAGGATGTTGGTAACAATTTTCTGTTTATTATAGTTACGCAATTTTCCACATAGCCCTTAGCGGCTTTATTGGACTTCCACAAAACATACTTTAGTAGACAATCAATTTGGAACAGGTAGTTTTCGAGCTGAATTTGGACAAAACTGTAAATACCTAAAGTAAGTAAAAACAACAGACAAATTTCAAATAAATAAATAATTTATTTAAAAAAAACAATAAATGTGTAAAGTAACTAAAGTCTAGACATTACATTATTAGAATTATTATGCTGTAAATTGGCATCGCGTCGTTTCAAATTTGAATCTACAAGTAAAATAAACATAACGCACAGACAAAGCGTCAAAAAAATGCACACGAAAGTCCACAAATAATCTATGGCACTGATAAGGAGTTCAACTAAAAGGGTAACAATAATACTGAGTAGAAAATATGCTGCATTAAAAATGGACGAACTACATGCTTCTGGAATTGGATATGTTACTTCTACTAAGTACTCGAATGCTACTATCAAGACTGGCGCAATGAAGAATCTATTAAAAATATATATATATATATATATATATATATATATATATATATATATTAATTAAACTTGTTATTTATAAGGGATGATGGTATTACTTACCCAAAAAATGGTATGACAATAAATGAACCAATTCGTGATTTTTCTATTAAAGTCACCGACATTAGAAAATAAAATAGGGCGGATAAGGTTAAAATTGCAAAACTAATTTTCCTGAAAATTAATTTCTTATTAAAAGTTTTCCTAATTAAAAAAAAAAAACTTACTTAAACTCATGAGTTTTGTCCAACAAATACCCAAAAATCATGCTACCAATGCATCCTCCGGAAATTATAGTAACAAGGGATATTATACCAGCATCACTTTGACCATCCTGGAGCAAGTTTATTTTGAAATACAAATATAATGGAAATTAATTTTAAACTTACTGGAAAATAATTGAGATAAATCGTGTTAACCAGCACTCCGAAACTGTTCCAAACTCCATTTGCTAGTCCCAATGATAAAACTATGAACCAAAAGTTTTTCTCTTTTACAATTTTTTTCATGTTTGTGTAAAATGATACGTTTTCAACCTCGGTGTTGGATAGTAGGTCGAGCTGAGATTGACTTGGAGGTAGTTGCGGCTTAGACCTGAAAACTAATTAGCAATTTTTACTTATTCTAAATTATTAAATGTGTCAAATGAGCCTATAGAATTTCAAGAATCTTATGAGGTCAGTAGTTTGGTTTATGAGAAATGTAATTAATCGTCTACGAAAGGAGCTAAGAAGGCATAAAATCTCTATCCCCGGCACTCCTAATGCCAACTTCTACTCTACTAAAACTGAAATTTGAGCTAATAAGACATAAAAACTCTATTCCCGGCGCTCCTAATGCCAACTTCTACTCTACTAGAACTAGAATTTGAGCTTATAAGTCATAAAAATTCTATTCCTGGCGCTCTAATGCCAAAAACTGATCTGACAAAGGGTGATTTTTGATCATTTGAGAATCAAAATTGAACCAAAGTGGTTGAAAAGCTCATATTTGATCCTCACAGAATTGAAATTCGATTGGTGATTTGTTAACATCTCAGTCTGGGCTTACCACAACTAAAAATTGAGCTAAAAGGGCATAACAACCCTATTCCCGGCGCTGTTAATGCCAAAATTGATCTGGCACAGTGTGATTTTTGATCATGGATCTAAGTTGAATTAATAGTCCAGCACAACGACGTAGCTATAGCTTTCACATGGGGGGGGGGGGGGGGGGTTAGAGCAGTAATGGCCGCTCATGGTCTATGCTGGAAAGGGTTTCAATTTTAGACCAGACGATGTATAGGCGACCGGGCGTAGCATAGTCAGAGCTGTTTCGAGTACAGGCAAAATGTACTCGGCTACCGGGTACAAGTACTTAGCGTAGAATGTTCTCGAGTACAGAGTACAATACCCAAGTACAAAGTACAAAGTACCGCGTACATTTATGAGTACATTCTAATACCACCTTGCATTATTCCTACCCAATGATGCCATAGGTAGGTACAAGTTATTACGCAACGTCCTCTTTTAAACAGCCTTGATCTATCATGGAAATCTAATGAATCCTCATAGGCTGCAAGCGCTGAGGTAGCTGCGAACTTAGCATTGCACATGGGTTATGACGTCACCTCCCCTTTCACACTTCCGTCACATTTCCCGAAATTTACCATTAAGCCGCCGGTATAGATGTTCACACATCAAAAATTGAAAAACGCATTTTGGTTTACTGAATGAATTCAGCAATTTTGAAGTTTGATTTAGTTATCCAGAGTCCAGAGTTTATAAGGACTCGGTTATAACTGCACAAATTATAATGCATAATTATATATTCTGAATCAGAATTAAATTATCTTCAAGATAGAATAAGATTCAATTCTCTATCTTAAATACTTCTGTAGATATTGAGGCTCAAAGTCAAAACTTTGTCTCAAATTTCACAAAAGATTCAAAGCTGATTTTCTTGAAAACGAAGCCTTTGAGCTCGGAGACTCAAATAACCTTTTTTATAGCTCTTCTCCAGAGCTAAAATTGAGCAAAAGATTCATGCTGATAGCTTCACTGGTTTCTAAAATATGGCCGTTTGAAATATTTGAAAGTCAAATGTCGATGCATACCCCTTTGAAATAATTTGAATTTTAAAATTTTTGGATTTTGCAATATTTGACTTTACCAATCGAAAGAGGAGGTGAAAATTAGTGGAAAAGCATTTACGCAACTTTGTTTTTTGGGTTTTAGGGCTTGTAAGAAAATAAAAACCGTTTTTCCACATTTTGAGCCCAGAAAATTTCAATAATCTGACATTGTCTCATAAAATCGCTCATTACTCGGTTATAACTACACAAATTATAATTTATAATTATATATTTTGAGTCAGAATTAAATTATCTTTAAGATAGAATAAGATTCAATTCTCTATCTTAAATACTTCTGGAGATATTGAGGCTCAAAGTCAAAACTTTGTTTAAAATTTGACAAAAGATTCAAAACTGATTTTCTCGAAAACGAAGCCCTTCGTTTCGGAGTCTCAAATTACCTTTTTTATAGCCCTTCTGAAAAGCTACAATTGGGCAAAAGATTCATGCTGATAGCTTCACTGGTTTCTAAAATATGGCCCTTTGAAATATTTGAAAATCAAATTTCCATGCATACATACCCCTTTGGAAAAATTTGAATTTTTAAATTTTTGGATTTTGCAATTTTTGACTTTACCAATCGAAAAAGGAGGTGAAAATTAATGGAAAAGCATTAACGCAACTTTGTTTTTTGGGTTTTAGGGCTTGTAAGAAAATAAAAACCGTTTTTCCACATTTTGAGCCCAGAAAATTTCAATAATCTGACATTGTCGCACATAATCGCTCAATACTCGGTTATTATTGCAACACATATGATGTAAAATTATATATTCTGAATCAGAATTAAATTATCTTTAAGATAGAATAAGATCTAGTTCTCTATTTTGAATACTTCTGGAGATATTGAGGCTCAAAGTCAAAACTTTGTCTCAAATTTCACAAAAGATTCAAAGCTGATTTTCTCGAAAATGAAGCCCTTGGGTTCGGAGTCTCAAATAACCTCTTTTTATTGAGATAAAATTCAGTGAAAATTTTAGCTTTCTATCTATAATAGAAAAAAAGTTATGACCTTTTAAAGTTGTCCAAAATCTAAATCATATAAGATGTGCTTTATGGGTTTGCAATTGGGTTGTTTATGACCGTGTTTGGGTTGTGCTTCAAGGTAGCTTTTGATAATTATTGTAAAAGGAAATCTGAATTTCCAAATTTATGGTCACAGACACAATGTCACAGTGCACAGAAAAGTTCAAAATTTTCGTTTGCAAATCACAACGATCAATGGAACACATGCTAAGCATCTGATGCTAAACAGGAAATGGCTGAAAATTGGTCATATCGTAAACGTAACATTATAGGTCTGTTCCAAAACAGCAGGAAACCGTACAATTTATCGTCATGATTCTGCGCAAACTGTAAAATTTGCGCGTAGAAACCGAAATTCGTTCACTGAGTAGTTTCGAAACCGTTCATGGGACGGTTTTTGACGTGTTGGAACAAACCTAATATGTCAGATCTCAACTTGGAAATGTACTTGTGGCCAAATAAATATGTATTTACTTAAAGTCCAATGATTTTACTCACCAACTGCAAATGTTTTCGAAAACAATGAAAATATCCGGGTATAACAAATGTATTTAAGTAAAAACGCATGTACGCGGGTATTTTGAAAATTACTCAATACAATAAAAACTACCGGGTAGGTACCTTTTTTCTATATTCTTAAGGTACGCGATTCAGAAAGTATCTTGGTCTGAGTGTACCGAGTAACTAAAAATATACTTAGAGTACAAGTGAAGAGTACTCGTACCGTACCCGAGTACTGCACAGCTCTGAAGCCCATCAGGATATCGTCAAAGGCGATTTTTTTTTCGGGTGCCTAGCCCAAAAACGTTTATTTTTCTTCAATAAAACTAATTTATTCAGTTCGGGGGTTCGAACCCCCAAACGCCCCCCCTTATATACGTCTTTGGTCCAGCAGGCAATTACTTTCTGCTGGAAAGTATTCCGAAGTTAATGATATTTTGGTATTCTATTTGTGGGTAGTCTGTGGGAGAATAAAATCTGAGTTTTCGACCGCAAGGACCCCAAACTAGAGAGTCGAAAAACTACGAAATTTTCGGACTTTTCATTTTTTTGCTTATATTTTTTAAACTATGCGTTTTAGCGGAATACACACATTGTATGACTATCGAGACTGATTTGGTTCGATTTTAATTGGAGAGAAATAGAAAATCCCAGGAAATGTCATAAAATGCAACTTTCCATCTCATTTCTGACTTCTGATTAAAACTTAATAGATTTTACCAAATACTTACATATTAACACTAACACAAATATGCATCCAGTGGCAATGGCTTGATACAAAAACATATTATACAACTCCAAACTAATTGTATCATTATCGGTGCCGGTGATTAAAAAAGGCGATTGAATACATCCTAAACCTGAGCCTGAAAAACAAATTTCAACCCATTATCCAAATTAAAACCCCAAAAATTATTACCTAATTGCATTCCCAATACTACAATGGCACAAGCGGTAGATACTTCTTCACAACCAAACCACGTGGTAGCTAATTTTGAAGGCAAACTAGACAATTGGACTTGCCCTATAGCAATTAGGAATTGTGCTAACAATATTAGCCAAAAAAGATCTGATTTTGGGGCGAATATTTTCAAAATGCTTCCAGCTAGAGTTAGAGCTGTTGCTACTACAACTGTCCATTTGAGATTCTAAAAAATCACCCATATACTTATGTCAATTTAATAGATGTTTTTTGTTGTACTTACATATTTTTCAATTAAATAACTAACTGGATAGAAAAACAATATGTAAGAAAGGAAAAATATCAAAGTGGTCATGTCTACCCAGTAGGATTCTACATTGTAAAATCTGGAATAAAAATACTTACTTATATACATACTCATCTTATTTGACTGAAACTTCTTACTTGGTTATAATATTAGCAATAATGGAAAATTGCAACATCTGCATAAAGTTCATTATACTGACTAATCCTATGATAAATAGAATTGTCCATCTATACTTTGTAACTTTGATTTCTACATTTGCAATGGAATTCATTGATAATTGGGATTGTGTCGGTGCTTTGTTTGAATCCATTTTTTATTCTATAAAAAAAAAAATATTCACTTATTCATCAAGTTATAAATCAAACTTACCAATAATTATTAAAGTAAAATCTTTTATATTCACATTCTTAAACTAATGTTTGTACGCCATTTAAACCACGTTATGTATTCATTAAATTTTGAAACAAGTTTTAAGCACCTGTGTGATGGGTTTTATTTAATAACGTCACCATTGCGTGGAATTAAATAAAGAACTGAATGAACGGTGAAACGAAAAGCACTATTATTTTGTTTTAAGTAGGCAGGATCCTAAATTTGAAGGTGAAATTTAAACGTCCGTTTGCAAGGCGGGATCATATTGTTAATTTTCATTCATCAGACTCGATAACTTTTTTTAAATGTTTAAAATAAATAAATAATATGCAAAGTTGTACTAAACTTACCTATCTAGATTTGTATTGTTTGTTCTAGCATTTTTAATCTTAACTGTGCTCATTAGATTTTTTTTGTGTTAATAAAAACCGCTCGTGTACCTATTTACTAATATTGTTATCTTTGTGGGTTTATCTTTTTGATGACTACTTAATAATGTAAATGGACTCAATAATTCAATGATTATTGCCGAAATCTATGATTGGACTCATCTAATTATCAAATACATTTGTTGCACGTTTTTGCTACACTGATGTTAGTATAGCTTCATCAGTTAATCTATTCATTATAAGATGGATGGACAATACCTAAACTGCATTTTGAAATTACTAAATCAGATTTTTCATTTATTTGCTTATTTAAATGTAATAATATAATGTTTATTGACAAAATTTAAATTAAAAATATTGTTTTATCCTGTTGCGAACTCCTCTCTGGCTTGTTTTAAAATAGGGTCCACATTGAGTATCAGTAGGTGAGAAAACTATTCCAAAGTTTTCTCATATATTTTTGAACTTTGGTCATCGATTTCTTTGCAATTTTGGATTTTGAACAGCCTGAGACTGTGACACTTTCGTTTTCTTTTTTTAAATATGCTCCTTTAATCAGCAGCTAGATTTTTTGAAATTTTATCGGTAGGTACTACCACTATTCTGTTTGTAGGTCCAGATATATTGGTTCTCGATTGCCTTCACAAAAATTATCCAACAAATACAGACCCATCTGTCAGTATTACTAGGAAAGAGATTAAAAAAAACTACTCTAAAAGCTAAAATTCATTCCAATTTCTTATAAATCACATACTTTTCCACTTTGCTTAAAACGCAAACAACTCTATAATAAACAAACTAATTTCAAGAACCACCCGTTTTTAAACAGTAACCAGAGGCACCCCTTTTAAAAAAAAAAACTACTTTAGTGTTGTGATTACCCCCATATCTATCAAATCAGTTGTCGTCAGTTCGACCCGAAAAAAGGGCTTCTGTGTTATACTTTTTAAAGTTTTGCTTTTTACCACACTCTTTTATTATCTGCCAATTAGCTAATGGGCGCCCTAATAATTGCGTGTCTACATTTAGATAAGTTTTGGCGCCTGGAAATACACTTTAAATTTTTATGTCTTTTGAAATGTTCACTTATAATAGGTTATTTTGGCACACGACTGTAATATTTGCATCAACCGTGTTTACACACGGCCAAATTTTTGTTTAAAGTTTTACTATAAATATTTACACACCAGAAACCGAAAAATAAACAGCCTTAGTAGAAGCGAAAGAAATTTCGCAGTTTGGTGTTAACAGGGTGCATGTGTGGTTTCAACCAAAAATCCCAATGACAACTTGATAAATTTTTAACTTTTTGAAATCCATAAATTCCACACATCGATTCATGTGTTAATATGTCTTCTGGAGGGTTGTTTGGCTGTCGTCAGACGCCACCCCGTCAGACCTTGCTCTATTAAGACTAATTGCGTGTTTTGGCCTTGTGACAAGGGCCTCCTATAAAAAGCCGACCAGTAGGGTGGCCCCTTGTTGGCCCTTCGATTTGCAGACAGGCGTTAAAGAACCGTGACTAAAACTGTAGGTAATCTTGATAGGTGGCAACTTCCGTGAGTAAATTTGATCATTATTCAAGAATTTTTCAATTCTTAATTATGGTTCTTCTGAGGATATTTGGGATTGATACAAATAAATCCAAGTATTTAATGTACCTACAAATGAATGCCATAAACAAAAAATGATCAATCAATTCTTTAAGATAATTTCAAACTAACTTTATGATAAGATAATAACCCAGACAGCACAAGACGTCTTTTTTAGGTCTACATATTACGTCTGAACGTTTGAAGACCAGAAAAAGACGTTGTTTTGGAAATGTCCATTGGATGTCGTAAATTCACATCTTAAAAACATTTGTTTGGTCTAAAATAATGGTTAATCTATTGAATAGAGATTCAAAGACGTCTTAAAGCCATCTCGTTGAAGATGTCTTTGCAATGTCTTGGGGAAAGACGTTGAGTTTTGTAACATACGACGTCTTCAAGATGTCTTTAAGACGCCTCAAGGACGTAAGCAAGACATCTTGAATGTCGTTTTGTAGACGTCTTTAAGATATCTATAAAAGTTTCCTACCTAATTCGTTTCTCATTCAATTTAGAAGTTACCTACTGGAAACTATTTAGAGAATGAACACTTTACAACTTAAGCCTTTTGAAAAGTTCATAACACTTAAAATTCAATTCAGAATTTCCAAAACCATCCTGTGGCGCTTTAAAACATTTTGGAAATTTCAGAACCATTTTACAATGTCCCAAAACATTCAAAAACCCATTTACAATTTCCAAAAGCATTTTAGAACAATTCAGAAGTTTGAAACCCATTTCAGGACGCTCCAAAACACTCAAACACTCCAGAAACATTTTGAAAAACGCCAGAATCTGAGGATTCCGATTCAGGTTGAAAGTTATAAAACGCCTTTCAGAAGGTTTTCAATAGCGAATTTAGATTGCTGTAAAACTTTAGACCTTTAATAAGCATCCAAATTAGAGCATTTTGGAACAAATGAGAAACTTCAGAGTTATTTTAGAAAAAAATAGGGTTCAATTTAGAACTGGAAACCTTTTAGAACGCTTTTCAAAACAATTTAGAAATTACTGAAAAACTTCTAGAATATTCCAGAACTCTTCAAGCAGAAGAACACTTCAGAACTTCAATATGCCATTGCCATTTAGAAGGTTCCAAAACTTAAAAGAGTTGACCTAAGAAGAATCTCCAACTTCTGCGATATATTTGGAATATAAAGCAACAATTTCTCTTACATTTCTCAAGCTTATATTCCGTAGAATCAGAGTTTCATTCTTGTTTCTCAGAATGTCTCAGATTCATAGAGCTTTAGTACCTTTTAGTACCTAATATTTTATATACTTCAAGCCACAAACTCTAACTTCTCCTTTGTAATTGTTTCACCTGATGATGGGATTCTTATAATCCTGAAACATGTCCTAGTAGCGTAAAAGTTTCGTTAGAAATTAGCTGGTGGAAATGCGGATTCCTCATTCATTCTTGCGAAAAGATGTCAGAGATTATTACTAGTTACGTGTTGACCTATCCTGTAGCAAAGGTGACTAATAACAGGCAAGTATATAGGTATCGCTCTGCGACATCACCCTCTTAAAAAAAAATCATGACCCAGTATTTTTAGCTATTCTTCTTGTTTACTGGTCCTCTATATCTTTGAAGGTTTTCAGTTCCCCTTCTAGGCGGCTCACCATCAATTAGGTTGGAATCGTTACTGTTTCGAAACGGAACACCTTCAAATTATTTCATATCATCTACATGAACTTTTATAAAATGATCGTCTCTTAACACCTCATATTTTCGTTCACCTTTTTTCTCCGTTATTTTATGTGGTTCCATCCATGTATTTCCCAAAGATCTTTCCTTTGTTTTACGTAATTTACGAATAATCTGTTGACCTACGCGAAAATCTGGAAAATTCCTACCTTAATTTGTATAGACTTTAGTATTGAATCAATCTTATTTGGTTTTCTTTTGCTTGTAACAGCCGATTTTTTTTTTTCTTCCGCCGTATTTTCCATTTTTTAAATATTTGGAACCTTCCATTCTCCAGGCGTAATAAGAGTATGCCTAAAATAGTAATACACTGGGAGCAAATCCCGAGGCCCGGTTTTTCTGTCGTTTATCGAAAATAAAATATTGTCAATATCTTCATCCCACTGGTTAAAACAGAGACTGAATCCTTAAGACTTTTTCAGTTTCTGATTTCCCCTTTCTACTGGATTTGCTCTCTGATGATAAATCGAAGTTGTATAATGGTCTATGAATAAACTGTTCAAAAAATGTTTTCATATATTGCTTCCAAATTGCGGATCGCAATCTGTTATCAGAGATTCTGGAAAACCCCATCTACGAAAAATATTTTTGAGTAATTGTGATATCGTATACTGGCCAGGCTTCATTCCATTTCTGTTACTACCTACAATATTAGACTCTGTATGTTTCATCTCTTTTGGGATGAGACGCAATAGGAGCATCATGATATTCCGATGTTCCGCTTTTAGGAAATTAAAAGAAGCATTTATATACAAGCTCAGTGTTGTCCTATCCTGATCAGAAAGGCATGTTGATTTTAGACACAGATGCAAGCAACACGATTTTAGATGATGATTATTGTAAAAGTTGCTTGAGTTAATTAGTGATTTAGTTAGTGTCAGAGTGTGTTACACTCAACCAAATAGTAGCATAAATAAAAAGAAGTTGTTCTTTGATTTAATGAACAATTCATTAAAATCGGTCCAAAGAACGGCTTCTTTGATCACATGAACTCTACGTTATTGAAGTATGAACAATTTCTTAATTCCTATTTCGATGCATCTTGTGTATGAACAACGAACATTAAGGTATGTAGCATGGTTTTTGTATTAATGAAACTTTTTATAGTAACAATAAACATCGTTCTTAGTTTATATGTACTTTTTCATTGTCCTGATGACAGACGGCATAATATTAATGAAGCCCAGATATAATTTGATGAAACCCTTTCATTGTATTTATGAATCACAGTCTTGAATACTAAGAATTTCATGCCTTAAATATACTTATGATTTTAAATGGGGTAAAGGGTCATTTTTTATATTTGCGTGACCCCTGTACTGATGAATATGAGCAATAGGAAAAAAGCTTTTAATGCAAAAGTTGCATGGTTTCTTCGTATCATCTTCCAGAATTGTCAAACAAACCAATGGGCATCCCAAAATCTGAAAATTTAAAAATCTAAGTATCTACTTATGTATTTTTATTTTAAATGACACTAACCGTATATTCTATTATCTTCCAAATCCTCCTTAAATCCTGTTTCCATAAATATAAAATATATCTATATTTGTTCCAGCTGTTTTTGAACTATCAACATCCAAAGTTTCTAAAACAAGCCACATCATTAGATTTGATGCCTTGGCTGGTTTTCTTGCCTCGGCTATGAAACACTAGTTGCGGTATTGAATCTTCTGCTTTTCTACCTAGTGAAACAAAATCATTTAACAAAAATATATCGATTAAAAAAATTACAAC